ACTTTGCTTTTATATATGAATTCCGAGTTTTGTTGTGTCTTCCCCATGAGTTCTGAGTAGTTTTCTCTGTATTTCTCCTTTTCTTGAGATTTGTGAAATGGTGATTTGAATTGGTTGAGCCATGAAAATGTTAAAGAAGTTGTGATGATCTTTTCACTTTGATCTTAATTTACTTTCAATCTGGTCAATTGATTTTTTACAACTAAAGTGGTTTTACAACTAAAGTGGAGATTACATCCAAGATTCGGGGGGGTCAAAGCCCTTGAAATGTTGGTGTAAATAAATAGGGAAATAAAATTATCGGGCGTAGAATTGAAGATTTTAGAGTGACAGAGTGACTCAATTCGGTCATATTGTTTGGGTGCTGAAGTGTAGATGTTAGCACTCAGGCGAGGGGAACGTAGGAGCTCCGAAGTGAGAGTCGGTATCCTCCCAGCCTAGCCGCAGATTCAGTAAACAAGCGTAGGATTAGTCAATAGTCTTTATGCCTGGACCAAAGGGTAAAGAATAGGTATGCTCCTATTTGGCACAATAAAATTTGAACTGATTCACTTTATCGATGAACTATAATTACTTTATCGATGAACTATAATTTTTTGACAAGGACAAAGATGCTTTCTTATATATTAAACGTCACATTAAGAACTTTATTAGTATAATTAGTTATTTAATAGTTAATAAAATTATATATTTATTTCAATTGCCTATTAGTGACAGATAAGCAATTTGAATTCCATTGTTGCAATTAAGTATTGATTTTCTAAAATCATGGTTCGTAGTTCTAATATTACTCCCTGTGGGATCGATATCTAGGACTCCATTAGAGCCTATATTACTTGAGTGATACGTATACTTGCGTTGATAAGTGTAACTTTACCATTATTGAATATTTTATATATACATCTTTATCGAATCTATAATTGTTATTAAGTTTTTGGTGTCATTGCTGATGAATTAAATCTTTTAGCATCAGTAATAAATACTTGTATTTTTAAGCATATATAAAGTCATTGTCAGTTGTCGGATTCACTCCTTGCTCATCCCAGTAAGAAGCATGGACAAAAAAAAGTTGGCCCAAAAGAGAGGGCCTGCGAGAAGAAAAGCCACTTGGGCGAGTTGTCTCCAACAGAGGAAAAATGGTTGTTTGAAAGATCAACCAGCCAGCCTGCGGCTCTTGCTCAAACTCCAGTGCCACCGTCTAGGGTAGCAGAGCAAGAAACTTTTTCTCTAGTCATATACATAAGAATGATATCATCAGCAAAAAGCATACACCAAGGTACATCCTTCTATAAATGACTAGTAAGAGCATCCATAACTAAAGCAAAAGGATCAGGCTTAAAGCCCATCCCTGATGTAATCCAATTGATATAGAAAAATACTTGGTCAATCCTCCTTTTGCTCGAACACAAGTTACAACTCAAATGTACATATTTTTAATGACATGAATATAAGTTATATCAACCAAAAATTTTTCTGTGCGGACTCCTGACGTAGTTCTACGTGCGGCACAGGATATTCCTGAGTTATTTTCAGGTTATTTCTGGATTATTGTCAATAATCCCGAAAAAACCCAGAAAAAACTCGCGGTCTTTATTTTTGGGTTATTTATGGATTATTTCAAGATTATTGAAAATAACTCATAAATAACCTGCATCGCACTTAGAGATACGTCAGGTGTCTGGACAGAAAATGCGCGTTATATCAATACATCTCTTTTCTAGAACTCAACAAAGAACTTCTCTTAGAACTTTATTATAAAAATTAGATATAGATCCTCCTTACTCTCTTTGTACTTCTCCACCAAACCTCTCAATAAATGTATAACTTCCATAGTAGACCAACCTGGCATAAATCCAATTTGAATATGAGAAATCTTTATATCACATCTTAACCTATGTTCAATTATCCTCTCTCAAAATAGTAAAGTATGACACCTCAACTTAATTCCTCTATAATGTGCACACTCTTGTGCATCCCCTTTATTCTTAAAAATGAGGACATGGATAAATACTTCAAAATTTTATTCAATTTAAAAATTATTATTCTTTTAAACTTAATAAAATTTTGATATGTAAAAAAACAAATTTTAAAAATTTATATGGGATTTTCACTCTTACCTATATGCTAGTGATTTTTAAGAGATATAATTTTGCATAATACTAATTTATGTGCATTCATTCATTATTTATAAATATTTTAAATGCAAAAAATATGAGCAACTATTTTTTTGTACTAATTTTGTAAAAATGAATTTTGATAGCCTTAAAAAGTGATGAATGAGAACTGTGTTTCTGTGTGTTGTTAGCGTCTTAGCATTGCACAAAGATTCATCGCACATGGATTTGTTTTAAAAAAAAAAAAACCTTTATGAAAAGAGACCAAAATTTTTGTAGAAAACTCAAGAAAGGAAAAAAATCATAGAGTATGGCCATTTAAAATAACGAATTATATAATTTCAATTAGATAGTGTCACTCCTCTCTTAATGAAGAATGTAAAATTACATAATAAAGATTGGGAAACAATTGCTCAAGAATAATAATTAAGCCACAAGTTGTTAGCAGTGGTTAATAATGTTTTTGGATAGTCGATGATGATCTCTGAGAGTCGAAGAGAAACTATGGTGGTCGTCAACAATCTTTGGTAGTCAACGACCACTCTACAGTGAGTTTTGGTGGTCAAACAACGATCTCAGAAAACCAACGACTACACTGAGATTTTAAGAGTTTGATTTAATAGCCCCCAAAAAAATACAGGTCTATTTATAATTTTTTTAGAGGCATAGTTTAATCATTTGGCTTAACAAACATTTAGATTATTCTCATCTTGATTCGACTATAAGTTGTCAATTTTATAGATCATTTGGTCCAATTAATGTTTCAAAATTTTCAATCATGCTTTAAATACTTGATATGGGCTTGGCTTCCATATTTGTGTCTAATGATATGCATATTTTCAATGATTAAACATTCAGCATAACAAATTTTAAGATAATAAAAGAAATAATGGTCAAAATGCAACATAAATTTTACTATAGACTACAAATTCAAATATGTTTTGAGACTTATAAATAGCTTTTGTGAACTTGAGCCAAATTCTGTAACTGACAAAATGCCTCAACTTTTTTTTTTATTATTATCTTTATTATTAATATTTATTTATTTATTTATTTATTTGTAGAATTGACTTGAGCAAACAAATGATCATTGCTTGTTCAAAGCTTTCAACATTCTGCAAGCACTCTGGCTACTTGCATTAATATGTAAATTCTGTGATAATTGCTGTTATTCAAATTAATTACTGAAATCATTAGCAATGTGAACATTTTTATGCACTGTAAAAATATAAATGCTAAACAAAAATGATATTTATTCTTTAAGAACAAATTATTGCATCTAAATTTCTAAAAAGACAGACTTTTAAGGAAAAGAGACCAAATTCATGCCCAAATATGTTTTCATTTCAAGGGAATAAAGAAGATAAACAAGTTACATAGACAACACACAATTCTAATGCAATTTTACATAAACCACACCAAAACTTTATATTTACAGCTCAAAAATAACACTATTACAACTTTGTAAATATGAAAGCGTATGTGTGAGATATGTAAATACATATGAGTTGTGTCCTGGGCATGTAAATTTTCCTAAATCTCAAAAGCAAAATGTGAAGTGTAATTATTTTGAATTGATTTAATATTTGAGTTAAGAGAAGCTGTTTCTTCTTCATGAAGATGAGGATTATTAAAGGGCTCATCAGAATGGTTGACCTAATCAAAAGTTTTACAACTAAGAAGTCCAATACAACAACAACAACGCCTTAATCCCACTACGTGAGATCGGCTGCATGAATCCTGTTTCTCCATTGCGTCCTATTTAATGTCATATTTTCATTTGGTTCTAATAAATTAAGATCATTTTTTATACAATAAGCCCTAGTCTTCTTATATCTACCTTTGTCTTTCTTAACATAAGTCGAATATAGAACATCTACTCTCCTAATCGGATCATCAGATGGTCCACGCTTAATGAGACCAAACCATCTAAACTGACTTTCTCTAATTTTGTCCGTCATGCTACACCAAACCTATCACGGATGTATTCATTTCTCATTTTGTGGAGTGGATTTATGTCTTACCTCAAACTATTTTTCTCTCAAATCTATTTTGCTTCTGACAAGAAAACCAGAAATTCACAGTTCTGAACTTCCATCTAAAATGACTTCCAATTACATGAGTCAAAATAACTACCCTAAAAGTAGGAAGTCACCCCAAATCATAAAATTCCATTGAGGCATTTACATGCATTCCACATAAACTTTCAAATTTAGATATCAAACTCGACTCTTTAGTATCAAATCAAAAAAACCACCATTAATTACTTTTTAAAGTGACATACACATTTTTACCTGTAGGCATATATATATTGATACGTAAATACACAAAAATTGTGCAGCATGCATGTAAATTTCTCAAATTTCATATAGTAGTTAAACAGAAGCTCAAAGTAGCTGTGCTTAGACAACTGACACCCCCATTTTTTTCAAAAAAAAAACAAAGGAGTTAACTGGGATCACTTTTGATTTTTATTTCTGTTTATATTTTTATTTAAAATAAAACATATTTAGTATATCTAGCAACATTAATTGTTTTAAAAACACTCAAAATAACTTCAAGATATTTTGTATGTTTTCAAAAACAATCAAATTTATTTTTAAAAATAAAAATTAAAACATGTAAAAAATGCATAAAACAAATATATTTTTTTAATAGAAATAAAATATAAAAAGTAAAAGTGATCCCAACAACCCCTTAAATGTCCAGATGAAGAACAATGTCCATTGACAGTGTATAAAACAATGAAAAAGACGAAGTAAATCTACCTTCCAGCCACCTCCAATGAGGTAGAGCCGTCAAAACAACATCATCCAACCCAACCCGAAAAAAACACGACATTAACATCCATCTTCCCAGGACAAACAAAACAAACTCAAGCTGCGCTTCCCAGGAGAAAGTATCCAAGTTAGGCAAAAGAGAAGAAAAACAGTCGTCTGATTAAAAAAATAAAAATCACCAATACATCAAATGCATAAACTAACCTGTGGGATAGCTCAAGCCTGAACAAAGTAAGCAACCATCAGAATCTGCTATCTGAATAAAGTCTACCATATATTCCATATCTCGCAGACTGCCATTTTTAGTTAAAATGAGACCGCTACGACATTAAGGACAATCTGCATCTCATCCTACCATATCATAAGAACCATTCACACGAACTGAAGCACCGCCACGCCGATGCCCATATAAATGACCGCCTCGTCTGGTGTGATGGTGACCTTGCATGCCATACCTTGATCCAGATGAAACTCTGTGGGCTTCCGATGATTCTTCGCGAGCACCAGAGTTCTTCTGAAACATGTCACCATCTTTGTTGTGACCACTCTGGTACTCAAACTGCTGCTCTATGGTTTGTGAAGGCAGCAGCTTCTCAGTAGCTCTCTGTCCTCCGCCTCCTTTATAACCATGCTGATATTGCTGGGAATGAACCTGAGATTTAGGTTGCCAAAGAGACTTCATGTGACCAGAACCAGCATTCGGGTTTTCATTTCTTGAAGAATTCCTGTCCCCAGAGTCAACTGGAGCTGCAGGCTGCCATTCTTTTTTGTTAGGCAGCTCACCCTGTAACGCTTTGCTATGAGGAGCATAGCTGGTTCCATCAACCTTGACTTCTTTAAATTGCTGCCGTTTCAGTCGGGTTGTGCCGTGATCCTTAACAATGTCTGATGTAGTTATAAGCTCGTTCTGTGGATTCTTATTACTACCTTCATCATCACTGGGTTTTGAATGTTGGTGCTCAGATGTCTTCTGAACCGATTTAGAAGGTCCAGAAGATTGTTCGATCTGTTCGTGCGATGGAGCCTCGCCAGGATTTCGTTGACGCCATGATGAATGTGTCTTGCCCTGCCTGCTTTGCTTATTATCTTCTGTATTCATAGAAATCAATGCCGTTTTTGCAACAGTAGAGCTAACATCTTTGCCAGTTACAGCACTTGATGAGGCCAATTCACGCTTCCCAGAATCAGCAGAAGATGACGCTGAGACTACTGTAGAAGATGACTGGTGGGAGTCTCCCTGCAGTGATAATTCTTTCGCAATTGGCTTAGGAACATATCTCTCTATCTCTGCCCTTTTGGCTTTTGCACCATTACGTGTGTCTTGCACATTCTTCCCATCTGACAGATTAGTTAATTCACCTGCACTGCTCTTGTGAGACTCAGAAGATCCATCTTTGTTCACCACCTTCACAGGCGCCCAGACCACAGTCTCACCACCTATATACTTGGCATTTGCTTTATCAGATTGACCGTTTTTCGTTGGCTTCCTATGAGGTTGAGATTTCCAGTTATTGGTTGCCCTTTCAGTGGTTATTTTAGCAGGTTCCGACCCTGACTGATTAGGTCCAGCTTTTAAATCCATGGAATCCTGATCTCTCAAACTTTCATTTGAATTATTTTCTTGAACTGACAGGGGCTCAAACAATTTTGCTGGGGTCTTAGTTCCATCACTGTCCAATACAACTTTTCCAGAGCTGCCTTCTTGTTGCGCTACATGTGGTAACTGAGAGTTTAATTTAGTATCATTCAACTTGTTCTTATACTTTGGACCACGATTATTCTTACTAGCCTGAACAGGGGGAGGATCACTGTTGAGAATTCCAAGACCATCGGATGCGTCTTCATTGACTATGGAAGCACATCTTGTGCTCCCACCACTCTCAGAATTGTTTAACTTCTCCGACTGGTTTCGCTCATCTACATTAGACCGTCTTCTTCTGTTCCATGCTTGTTTTCGTCTTGAAACATTGTTGTCCTGCAAATCGGAGGCAGATTTTCCTGTAGTAAATTCTGGATTACTCTCTTGACCCAACTGCCATGACTGCTCACCAACCGAGACCTGAGCTTGGACAGAGGGGTCAGAAGTCCCAGATGACTGAGTAAGGGACAAGTCAGATGAATCTTTGAGCTTGACAATGTTGGCATCATTAGGATGCTTTTTTGCTTCAGAATCACAAGAAAGGCTGCCATGGAGAGCTCCACTGGCAGTCGTAGTTTTCTCATCCTTACCAGATGTGTTGTGCTTATTTGGGCTGTCATTGTTCAGTGGCTGAGCATGTCTTGAAGCCTGCTTGGAACTTGCAAGAGCTCTCTCGTTCAATTCAGCCAATTTAGCCAGAGCTTTTGCCTTCTGCTCAGCTGTTCGCTCCTCCTCTTCCTTCTGGAGTTGGAGGGCACGCTGCCTTGCCATTTCTTTCAGCTTAGCATGCTGTAATAAAAAAAGAAATGGATGAGCATTGGAAATGATGGATACTTTTCATATCAATCCTAAGTAAAGAAAATCAATTGCTCAACAAAAAACTCGAAGAAATGATCGATAACTTCCATATCATCGTTACATTAATTACACTTTTCTTTTTTACCAGGAAGCATATATCTAAATAACAAACTTAAAAATTAGGGGCCATTTGGGATCATTTTTATTTTTGTTTCATGTTTTAATTTTTAATTTTTAATTTTTAATTTGTAATTTTATTTATTTTGTTTATGTGTCGATTTGGAAAAAATAATGTATGGTTGGTATGTTAAAGCATGTTTAATTTAAAACAAAGGATAAATTACATATAAAAAAACACTAAGCAAATATATTTTTAACAATAAAAACTAAAACAGAAAATAAAAATGATTCCAAAAGATCATAAGCACTTCAAACAAATAATAGAAATGATTCCAAACAGATCATAAGAGCTTCAAACGAACAATAACGCATGCCCACCTAAAAAAAATTTAGATGATACTTTATATTTATAGAACAAGCATTGAAATTAAATAAATAAAAATGATGTGTGCATAAACCAAACTCAATTTTTGTATCATCCATATGAACCAAACTCAATTTTTGTATCATCCATCGTGAACTTCTACAAGGATGTAAATTGTTCTTCTATAAACTATGATGTAGCAACTTCCAAAGAAATTATCCCAGAAACTTATTGTTAAGACTAAATTCAAGAAATGACAGGATCCAAACCTGGACATCATGATCAACAGATTTCAAAGAGGATCGATCACTGACGGAATTGAGAATAAGACGAGAACCCTGGTCATCAGAACCCGCTTTAGATAATTGTGAATCAGGTATAGATAACAAACATCCACTTTTACCAATTGTCACACTTGTTTTCTCCAAAGAATCCATTTCAAGGGAATTATTCGCATCATCAGCACCATAACTGCCAAATTTCAGAGTTCCGTGATGCTCGCCCTTTCCTTTTACATCAAGGACTACCTTCTGATTATGAAACTGTGAATGTACACCATCTTCTGAATAGTTTGACTCGAGAACTGACTCATGTATCATAACCTTTGTAGGTGCATTCGACTTGCTCGTACCCAAATTTCTAGCACCAGAAACGGAAGTACTGCTAGCAGAGCAAGAATTTGCTGGACCAACCCCCGCAAAGTGACCTTCACCACTGCTTGAGCTTTGATTACTTCTCATCTCCTTTGCAGGATAATTCTCACCCTCAAAGTGGGCATCAACAGCCCTTGTTTTACTATTCAAACCTTCAACCTTTTCCATTAGACTGGCATTCTTTTTGACAATGGCTTTTTGTTGATAAGTATCCAGCTTCTTCATTACATTGTGACCAGCAGACTTGCAAGTTCCTAAAGAATTTCTGTCATTTTGATCTACCAAATCATTAGGATATTGACGATGGGAAACCTTGCCATGCTGTTCTTCAATTTTTTCTTCTTCTTTGTAGCTTTGGTCCGTCGAGTAAGGCTCTGGCATTGAGAATCCAGTTCGCCTTCCTTTCTGAGCAGTTGAGGAAACTACTGCAGCATGCTCCTTCCCAGATGCATCCTTCTCTTCATGATTTCCATGCTGCTTTAGTAGAACTCTGTACTGTCCTTGAGTTTCATTAGCTTGGCCAGATATCTCATGTTGAATAATAGTCACAGGAACAGGTCCATCAGGCTGAGGGTGAAACCTCCATGGTTGAGGTGTCTGATTTTCAGAGCGATTCTGGTTATGCAAACCATACTGCCCCGGCATTCCCGCAGTGGAACCAACTTGCTCGGAGGAATTGTCGAAGCTTGGGTGAGTTTCATAGAGAACTGGACCAGGATATACTCCAGGTCTGACAGGAATACCCGACTCGCCGTGTGGAAGGTATGATTCAGGAGGCATGTGCCTGTAAGCTTCACCTTTCTTAAGGTGGACGCCACCTGAAATAGTTTCTGCCCTTGGGAAAGCTTGATTATTAGGTAGTGCACCTGCTTGAACATAAGGATAATACGCATCAACATGATAAGTACCCGGAGGGCCAAATGAGGGTCTATAAAGAACACCAGCCTCATGCCCTCCATGCCAGACTACAGGAGAATGGTGAGCAGGACCATGCCAAGGCCCATATTGTTGAGCTGCCATATGTGCATCTAATAGAGGCTGTGCGTTATGAATGTCCCGATGCCAGTTTTCTGTTCTAGTGGAAGGACCTTCTCCAGCACAAGGAAGAGTATCAGCACTCCAGCTGTTAAAATTTCCATGCAAAGCCAGACCTGGATTTTCATTACCTACTACTCGAGAGAAAAGCCAATCAAATAATTAGATGGTTTAATGTACAGGAATAAACAGGAGAGAGAATCAAAATGGTCCCCCAATGGGGCTATTTAGTCTGAAAACAAGTAAAAGGTCAAATTTAGTTTCCAGACAGGCCCATTAGACAAGTATCCAAATAGTACTGTTCTTTAAACCAATTGAGATTGAAGTTAACGATATTAAAAATGGTATATAGAAAAATGTTTTTTCATGGATTTTTTTGTAAATCTGATTCCCTGCATGCCTTATTTTCCCATGTACAGCATCAAACTTCGTACACATAAGCAGTGAATTGAAATCGTGCCGATCGTGGAGCAAGTTGATTTTTTTTATTAAATAAATTCATTTGACATCTTTGTTATCTTAATTCATTTCAACAAAATATATCGAATTTATTTTTGTGATGATTGAAGAAATATTACAAAAGAGTCAACTTATATTATTTATTGTAAAAAATCTACTTACCCTGCAACCTGCACGATCTCAATCCACTCCAACTACATGTGAAATAAGCTACTAATATTAAATAATTCAATATGAAATTATACATTTCTAAAACACCCATATTTTTTGCACCATTAACTTCAATTTAAAATGGCAGGACTATTTTGGTTCCTACTTAAAGCGTTTTGAGTACCACATCCGTCCGTTTATATAGTCTAAGCGCAAAAAAAGCTCCTCATAAATTGTTGAGGCACCATTTTGAGCTTCTTCTTAAATAGAAAAGGGTCACATAAACTGCCAAAATAGAATAATAAATTTGACATCATTGTAAACTCAGAACATAAACAGAAGCATACCACTGGTTAACAGAGGTTTGGATGTCCCTTTCAAACTTGAAGATAGAGCCGTAGCAGGAGAAGCTGAAACATTTGGGTTTTGACCTGGTAACGGAAGGCGAGTTGATTCTAATGAAACTATTGGGTATATTCAGCTTTACTCAGGAATTAAGGAACAAGAAATATACAACAAAACCCAAAGCCATTGATATCCCATTAAGTCCTTTTACTTGAAAGTAATCCAGTAAGTTAAAAACTCAATAATCATTTTTTTATGGGCTTTGCAGTATTAAAAAGTGAAATTGTCTTTAATCAATTAGACACATCACATGATCGCAATAAAAAATTATGAAGCAACCACAAAAAGAAACAAAGTTACAAAGTTCATAATAGTCATAGAATTTGAAAGGATTGAAATTTCGAGTTCAAACAACTTCCTAACTTTTGTAGCCAAATCAAGAACAAAAATCTGCATAAAAACTGAACAATCAAAACAGATAGCATGCTAGATAAAAACTGGGAAGAATTCCCCCAAATTCATATGCATAGCAGTAGCGAGTATTTCACCATCTAAAAATTACTGTGTGTGGTGCGAGAGGGAAGGGGCCGAATAATCAGTAAGTTTATCATGTTCATGTTTCATATCTTACAGGTTCGTAATGCTTCTCTTTTAACTTTAGGTGACAGCAAAATAAACAGTAGAATTAATGATGATTGATGAAGATATTTGCTATGACATTTTAGAAAGAAAGGAATCATAAAAGAAGAAAGAGTGATGCGAGAGAGTCCAAAAAGATGTGGGATCGCATCGTGCGACGAACGAGCAGAAATCCAGTCACGTGCAAGACTATAGCAGGGATTTTGCCGCCGGCTGTTTCACTGGCCCTTTTGGGCCCCATTCTCCCTTGTTTAATAAAAAATAGGATAAATTTGTCTTAGTATAGGTAATTTGTTTAAAACCTGGTTTGGGGAACTTTAATGTTGGTTTATGTTATTTGAAGACTTTAGAGAGTTGTAGGCTATTTTTTTCTTAACATCTGTACCTCCGTGAGATCATCATTTCATCATCCTTCCTGCTGTTTTCAGTTCGCGAAGTCCTTCAATCCCTCTCTAACCCCCGTTGAATTTGCATATCCCTTTGCTCTTGCCTTCCCACAATCTCAAACAATTAAATTTGATCTTAAACACATTCTAGAAACCCTAGAATAGTGTCATTCAGTATCAAAGTCAAATCCTATTTAATTCGTAATCCTACCTTCACAAAAAATCTGTCCCATTAGCAGAACTGTTAACTTGAGGAGCAAGTTACTATACTGTTAAGAAGAACCCCTCAATGAGTTGCTCAGGAGCTTACATAGAAGATATGAAACCCACTAATTACAGTGGAGGCACACTGATTTTGAAAATAAATAGCATAAAGAAATTACCCACGCAATGACGGTGACCATCCAAATGGAGAAAGATTATAGAATCATTTTCACCAAAAAGCCCCAAGCAAAGAAGAGATGATGCCGAGTCAGTTTGACGTTGAGTATAGGAGGGGAGAAAGAATGATTTCAGAATGAAGATTAATTTATCATATTATGGCGATCGTATGAATCCAGACAAATTCTTTGAGTAGCTCCAGACAATAAAATGGATCTTTGAAAATAAAAACGTTCAACATGATAGAAAGATGAAGCTAGCTACCATAAGGTTAAATAAGAGTGTTTTATTATGGTGGGTGAATTCAAAACACCTGTGCCAGCACGAGAGCAAAAGCAATATCATGACTAATACAAGATGAATAGAGAGATGCAACACCACTATCAATCTTTACATTCATTTTTTTCCCACGACTGCGTTGGGTAGGTGTGAGCATAGACTTCATTATGAGCTTGCCTCAATGAAACATGAACTTTGTTATGAGTGGCAAATTATTTTTCCATATCACACTTTTTATCTTAGCATAAGACATTGGATGCTTCACAAATTGTTAATCTCTACTTTCGATGGTTTGTCTTCATAGTGTGCTCAAAACAATCACTTTAGGTAAAGTTGTGAAGAATTTTTTTCTTTTCTGGAGGACCTAATGGAGTAAGAAAAATATGAAACTTCAGTTCCCTTCAACAGCTCATCCTCAAATAGATAAATAGAAAGTGGTAATGCATCAAGGCTTTGAAAACCTTCTCAGGTGTTTTGTTGGCAGGAAATCAAGTGAAGGGATTTGATCATTTCTCAAATTGAGTTTGCTTGCAATCAATCCACTAGCCATGCCACAGGTCAAAGCTCCTTTAAAATAGTCTATTGGGGGTTCGCTCACACCTTTGGAATTGGTGGCTCTACTTCCAACCATTGAGCCTCATATTGATGCTATGACCAGGGTCAAAGAGATTCAAGCCTAACCTAAGCTGTAAAAAAGATCACCAAGTAAAATGAAAAGTAGGCTAATAAATCTAGAAAGGCCATAGTTTTCAAAAAAATGATTTGGTGTAAATCAAATTCAATAAGGAAAATTTCCTGCATATTTATTTCGAAAACTCAAAACAAGAGCTAGTGGTTCACTCCGAATTGTCAAAGAATTGATACCGATACTTCAAAGATTGACCTATTTGATGATATGAACATTTTTTTTGTCTTCAACATTCCTGATTTGTCACCATATTACATTAATCTAAATGTTTTCAATGATATGAAGATAAAACTCCCCCTACCCGTGGAGGATGAAATAAGCATAGCCCAGGCCAAGCATACTGCGTGAAATGGGAATTGACCATAGCCAATTAAGAACTAGGGCCCCTTCATTCCAAATTATCAAAAGAATTAATAATAATACTTAAAACATTGGCCTGTTCGATGATATGAACATTTTTGTTGTCTTTAACTTTTTTTATTTGTCACCATATTACAAGATCTAAATGTTTTCAGTGATCCCCCTAAGGATCAAACGGGTGCAACCCAAGCCAGGCAAAAGTGTGTGGAATGGGTTCTAATCAATTAAGTAGGGCCCCTTCATTCAGAATTGTCAAGAGAATTGATAATAAAACTTAAAAATTGAACCTGTCCAATTATATGAATATTTTTGTTGTCTTCAACATTCTTGATTTGTCACCATGCTATGAGAATCTAAATGCTTTTAGTGATATGAAGATAAAACCCCTCCTACTCGAGAAGCATGAAACAGGTGCAACCCAGACCAAACAAGTTGCATGGAATGGGAACTAACCCTAGCCAATTAAGAACTAGGGCTCGTTTATTCAAAATTGTCCCAAGAATCAATAATAATACTTAAAAGATTGACATGTTTGATGATATGAACATTTTCGTTGTCTTCAACATTTTTTTATTTGTCACCATGCTACAAGATCTAAATGTTTTCAGTGATATGAAAATATAACCCCTAAGGATCAAACGAACGCAACCCATGTCAGGCAAACTGTGTGGAATCGGAATTGGCTCGAACCAATTAAGAACTAGGCCCCCTTCATTCAGAATTGTCAAGAGAATTGATAATAATACTTAAAAAATTGACCTGCCCGATGATAGAATCATTTTTGTTGCCTTCAACATTCTTGATTTATCACCATGCTATGAGAATATAAATGCTTTCAGTGATATGAAGATAAAACCCCTCCAACTCGACAAGCAATCAATCCAGACCATAGGTCAAAGCTCTTTGAAAATAGTTTGGGGGTTTCACTCACGCCTTTGGAATTGGTGGCTCTACTTCCAACCACTGAGCCTTATATTGATGCTAAGACCAAGTTCAAAGAGATTCAAGCCTAACCTAATTATGTAAAAAAGAAGATCACCAAGAAAAATGACAAGTAGGCTAATAGGTCTAGAAAGGTCATAGTTTTCAAACAAGATGATTTGGTGTGAATCAAATTGAATTAGAAAAATTTCCTGTATATTTATTTGGAAAACTCAAAACTAGGGCTAGTGGTTCACTCTCAATTGTCAAAGAATTGATAATAATACTTAAAAGATTGACCTATTCAATGATATGAACATTTCTTTTGTCTTCAACTTTCCTGATTTGTCACCTTGCTACATGAATCTAAATGTTTTCAGTGATATGAAGATAAAACCCCGATACCCGCGGAGGATGAAATAAGCGCAGCCCAGGCCAAGTAAACTATGTGGAACTAAGGCCCCTTCTTTCAAAACTGTCAAGAGATTGATGATAAAACTTAAAAAATTGACATATTCGATGATATGAACATTTTTGTTGTCATCAACAATTTTTATTTGTCATTGATCTAAATGTTATCAGTTATATGAAGATAAAACCCCTAAAGATAAAATGGGAGAAACCCAAGCCACGCAAACTGTGTGGAATGGGAACTGGCTCTAACCAATTAAGAACTAGGGCCTCTTCATTCAGAATTGTTGAAATAATTGATAATAATTAATTAAAAGATTGACCTGCCCAATGATATGAACATTTTTGTTCTATGCAACATTCCTGATTTTTCATCATGCTATGAGAATCTAAATGCTTTCAGTGATATAGGAAGATAAAACCCCTACTCGAGAAGCATGAAACGGGCGCAACCCAAACCAGACAAAATGTATGGAATGGGAATTGGCCTTAACCCCCGCCAACACCGCCAACCCAGACCAAACAAACTGTGGTGTATTGGAACTGGCACTAGTCAATAAGGAACTAGCACCCCCCGCCCCCCTCTCCCTTCTCCAACCATTTATGTAGTAACTCAAAACACAAATCCACATTAAAGCTACACAATCAAAGCAATTAGCATGCTAAATAAAAATCAGGAAGACTTTCCCCAAATTCATATGCATATAATAGTAATTTCACCGTTTAAAAATTACCAATGTGTGGTACGAGCGGGAAGGGGTGGAATAATCAATAGGTTTATCATATTCATGTTCCATACCTTCCAGGTTTGTAAAGCTTTTCTTTTAACTTTTAGGTGACAGCAAACAAAACAGTAGTAATAATGATGATTGTGGTAGATATATGCTATGATATTTTAAAAAGAAAGGAATCATAAAGGAAGAAAGAGAGTGATGTCAGAGCGTCCAAAAGGATGCAAGATCGCATCATGGGACGGACGGATAAGATACCTCTCACGTGCAAGAGTATAGCAGGAATTTTCCCGCCTATTGTGGCAACTGACACTTGTGGGCCCAATTTTCCCTTATTTTTGAATAAAAAATAGGGTTGATTTTTCTTAGTATAGGTAATTTGTTTAAAACCATTTTGGGGAACTTGAATGTTGGTTTATGTTATTTAAAGACTTCATTTCTCTGATTATTCCTATTTGGAAAGTTGGAACCTATTTTTTTTTCAAGTGTTAAATATGTATCTTAAAGAAATCAAGTGGGCGATCCTCCTCAGCATCAGTACCACCGTGAGACGTTATTTCGTTATTCTCCGTACTATTTTCAGTACGGGCACCTACTGAACTCCTTCAGTTTTTCTCTAAACCCCGCTAAATTTGCATTTCCATTTGCTCTTGCCTTTCAACAATCTCAACCCATTAAATTTGATCAAACAAATTCTAGAAACCCTAGAACAGTCTCATTTAGTATCAAAGTCAAATATTAATTTCAATCTGTTATCCAAATTGTGAACCTTCAAAATCAAACATTCCTACCTCCACAAAAAATCCGTCCATGCACCTAGCCGAACTCCTAAAGTGAGGAGCAAGTCGCTATACCACCCATGAGAAACCCTCAACAAGGAATTCAGGAGCTTGCATAGAATATATGAAATGGAAAAACATCTAATTACAGTAGAGACTCGATGATTTTGAAAAGAGACAGCATAAAGAAATTACCAATAGCAGTAATGGTAACCATCCAAATGGAGAAGAAGAAATCATTTTCACCAAGAAGCCTCAAATAAAAAAGAAAAGTGCCAAGTCGGTTCGGTATTGAGTATAGGAGAGGGGAGAGAATAATTTCAAAATCAAGATTGATTTACCAGATTTTGACAGTCATATGAATACGAACAACTTCATTGAATAACTCCAAACAATAGAATAAATCTTTGAATACAAAAATGTTCCACATGTTAGACTGATGAAATTAACTATCATAAAGTTAAATAAGAGTGCTTCATTATCATGGGTGCATTCAAAATGAATGTGCTAGCGTTAGGGCAAAAGCAAGATCACGACTTAATCCAAAATAAAGAAAGAGATGCAAAACAAATATCAATCTCTACACTCACATTCTTGTCCTAGAGCTACATTGGGTTGATCCGAGCATAGACTTCATTATAAGTGGCAAATCATTTCTCTAAGATGGCACACTTTTTATCTTGTCGCAAGACATTGGATGCTTCACAAATTATTGATCTCTACTTTAGAAATTTTGTTTTCATAGTGTGCTCAAAAAATCGCTTTGGATAAAGATGTGGAGCTTTTGTCATTTTTGGAGGAACTTAAAACTTCAGTTACGTTGAACAGCTCATCCTCAAACATATAGATGGGGGACGGCAATGCATCACTGCTTCGAAAATCTTCTCAGGTGCTTTGTTGGCAAGAAATCAAGCAATGGAATTTGATGCTTTCTCAGATTGAGTTTTGTTTGGAATCAATCCACTTACCAGTCCACAGGTCAAAGCCCTTTTAAAATAGTTTAGGACGAATTCACTCACACCTTTGGAACAAGGGGCTCTACTTCCATCCATTGAGCCGCTCATTGATGTCGAGACCAAGGACAGAGATTCAAGCCTTACCTAAGCATGTAAAAAAGAAAATCACCAAGCAAAATAACAAGTAGGCTAATAAGTGTAGAAAATCCATACTTTTCAAACAAGGCAATTTGGTGCGAATCAAAATGAATAAGGGAAATTTTTTAATAAAAACCCTTTAATTTTTTAAAATAATTATAAAAAAAAAGAAACAAATTTACGTCTTACAACACTAATGATGCAGACGTAGTTCAAATGTGAAGCCCACCACCAACGGGAGAATAAGTCCAAACTATTTCCTCATCCCTTCATACATTCAAATTTTGGGCGAGAGCAAGAAAGGAGAAGAAGAAGAAGAACGCGAGAGGAAGAAGAAAAGGCAAGAGTGGCTAAAATCGTAAAGACGAGTAGCGTACAATGGAGGAAAGATGAAGTTGCTAGCAGAGAAAGGTAAAACCACACGTTTTTCCACGTGTGAGAGAGACTCATGCAGCTCACAAGGACACAACAACAAGCCTCTAGGTCTCTGTTAAGTAGATTTCCATGCCCTAGTTGTTTGGCAAAGACGGAGGAGAGGTGCAAGTTAGTGCTACCTGTCGTGTGGCTTGTAGAGGGCACACAACTAAATTCATTGAGTCCTCTCATATATTTAATGATTCTTTCTCGCTCCACAAATTTTTTTAAGAATCACCACATCCTCATAGTAGGACGTCTTAAGATCTTGATATTGTCTAACTTTAAAGAATAAGCCTTCATGGTAATAAAGTATTCAATAACAAGAAAATTATCTTATTTAGTAGCAGTGAGTTTTATCTTAATTTTATAAATGTGCAGGTATCTCTCACCATTGCATTTGCTTAACCACATGGCAAACCTCTTTTGTTGAACATAAAAGGTCCACTAATCTTTGGTAGCATGGTGTTTCATAACCATGTCATGATCATGAAATTAATTTTTTCCAATTGAATTTTAGGTCTTTGGACACTAAAAGTAAATCCACAAGCTGTTGTTGGATATTTCCCTTTTCCATTCCCTTCTGAAAGCTCATTACAATTTGGGAACTTTAAGTTTATTTTTCTCATTTAAACAATAAAATGCTTGAGATACCTCGAGTTCTCCTTTAGTCCGATTTTCAACAAATCGTGATCAACTCCCTTTGAAGGGAAGATGAAAAACCTGGATATAATGAATAAAAAAAAAATTGATAAAAGGGAAATGGAGACCCTTACCCTAGAGAATTATAACAAAGCCTGAAAGAAATGTTCTAAAATCTTGCCCTAATATCATATAGAAAATAAAACAATGACAAAAGTCTCAAGAATCTTATTACATTTTTTGTACAAAGGGGGAGGAAAGGTATACATGTACACCAAAGATACATTACAAATGATGAATAAATCAAAAAAGAATGAAAAATCAATTAGGGGACAGCAATCCTGTAGTAAAGCACACAGGTTGTAATCTGAGGATCATAGAGAAACATATCCAACAGTACAAAAGCTTGATCCATGTGCCTTAAGTTCTTCGCTTTGATTAGAGTAGCAAAATTTCAACAATAACCTTTCTAAGCAGTGTGGTTTTATCTTGATTGAGTGCAGGTGATGGATTCATCTTAACATCTATACCGTCTTTCTATCAGCCACCAACTTCCTCGTCAATGTCGTCCTCCAAACAGCAACAATCAATCCTTCTAAATCCCATTATTTTAGTTTCTCATCATTCCTATCATCCTTACAAACATTCTAATCACTATCTAGATCCCTAGGCATCATCTACAAATACTAGATCAGTGTCATAGATGCACTAGTTGTCATGCCAAAAACTTCCCTAAATCAGAAAGGCAAAATTTAGCAGAAAAAATAAGGCACGTTCTCGCGGGCAAAACAAAAGGCAAAATGGATTTAACTAATCACAGTGAGAAGATAAACAAGCACCTTTTTGTGATTTTGGCTCATCACTCTTTTCCGATCCTAAACTAGGAAAATCTCCCGAAGTCAGAGTGAAGTTGCTCTTTTTGGATGCATCAGCAGTCTGCAACGTGAAAGAGTCAAAAGTGAAAAAACGAGGTACGAAAATCCTAAGGTGTGGCTAGAATCTGCAACCAATCATAACAAAAAATAGCACAGGATGATATTTGAAAAATATGAAATCTGAAAATTAGCACAAAGTTATATTGAAATGAAAATAAGAAATGAAGTATCACTTTCTCTGAAGTTCCAGCTGCTCCCCATGCAATACTGTCGACCGAACTTTCTGCAAATCGTGATAAATGAGAGCTATTGGGTCTATTATCAGCACTTCGCGGACGATTTGCAGCTACTGACATATGGCTGGATGGAAGTATCCCTGATGCTGATGATGGACGTGAACTTGAACCCAATGAAAGAGCAACAGGCTCATTAGACCTCTCACTACTACCAGTCGATGGACGAGTGCCACTTCCACCGGATGATGGACGGCCATTAGCATGGACTGGTGAACCAACACTCCCATCAGTTCGAGGAGACGACAAAGTTGAGGAACCCCATGCACTGGATGCAGCCAACAAAGGCCGGGTGCCCCATGTAAGCGTACCCCTATCATAAGCACAAAATTCAAGCCAACCAATACATAGAATCACATGCAACAAATTTCTTATAAATCACAAAGCATACAAGCACAAACAAGAAAAAACATAAAAAAACAATGAAAAAGTGACAAAAAAGGCGCGTACTTGGGAACAATTTCAACGTTAGGATCCAACCCATGATTTTCTAACCTTCATATAATAAGAACCACCGATTAAGGCATATAAAGATAGAACAGCTAGATTTTCATCATGTAAAAACTGCAAAAAAAAAACAGTACATACTTCTGACTCGGTAAGTTAATGGGTTTGGGAACTTTCCCCAATACGGTCATACCAGACTTCCTTGTAGAAGTCCACCTATAAAAAAGAAAAATATCAGAATATTCACAAGAAAAGACCATAATGTGTATAGAATCATTAGAAAAACATCAGCAAAGTAAACATTTCAAATAGGATGTCAGCAATGGTATTACAGAAACCGCAAAGCTACTAAAAACCTAAGCAAGAATGATACTGAAGCAACAAAACAATAGTTTTCTGATAGTTTAAACGGTTAGGCCTTTAAAGATAATAATATTCAGGATGCAGTAGTCCCAGTTTTTGAACGGGTAATCTCCACTACAAAAGAAACGGTCCAGCATGTTTTATCTGCTGAGATGTAATGCAAAATGGAAATAGTAGTTGAACTCAATAGGATTTGCATACCTTCATTTTGAAGAGAGACTATTTAAGTACAGATAGGTTATAAACCATGTGAATACAAACAGAAAAAAAAAAGGCCAAAGTATACGGATATTAAATTAAATATTCAAAAGTCCACTCTACACAAGAGTGTTAAAATAAACCTTCACAAATATAAAAGATAAAAGTGCAAACGTCACAAATAATGCTTATCAAAGTAAAATCTATCGTGACGTCATAAAAGATTAACCATCCAAAAACAGCCACATAAAAACAAAGCTATCATATCGACAAAAAAAATATGAATTTTAAGTAAAACCTATGATGCAAATAAGAAACGATGATTAAAAAATCTTAAGACAAAAACTGACCTTCGTTCGGTAGATTGAATGCTTGAAGCCATGTATCAATTGTATTCCTCGCAAAATCATCTAACTACCAATAAGATGAGCTTCAAACAGAAAAAAGTACAAAAAAAGGTCATGTGATAGGCCCAAGAAGTAACAAAAACTTATTCAATTTGCTTGCATGATATTAAAAAAAAACAATGAAAAATAAAAGAAAAAGGTGTGCTGTTGTGCTGTTAAAGACAATGTTCTATCAGATTTTATTTTATCATAGAAATATCGATCTACTTCATCAAAAATATCAATAGATCTTCTTGACCAATTTTAACACCGAATAATAGATAAGTTGTGCAGATTCTATAAGAATGTTCCAACGAGTTGGGCATCAATACGTCCAAGAAGCTTGCTACGCGGTTAATGTGATAAATAACATCCTTATTAAGAATGTGCATTTTTTTGGGTAATATTTAGGTTAGATGTCCTTCCTATGGCCCATGCCTCATGTTTAAGTTCCAAGCAAATGGCATGAACTTTAAGTCCATCTGAGAATTCAATCACAACAATAAAATACTCAATTAACTTCTTGACGTTGATAAGAAGGTAGCTTTTCCAAAATTGTGCATAAGCATAAAGATCTCCGGATGAATAATGCGACTGTGTGCCCGCCTTGCTACTCAAAAGCACAAGTATATCACAGAAAAAGTTGAAGGTAATGCCAATTGATGAAGAGTGTTGTGCATACGAGGGGTTGTTTTCATCAATATTTTTGCTATTTTTTCACCACATAACCCAAAGACACCCTTAGAAAACGGGGGTTTTCAAGTCCTTGACATTCAAATGAAATTGATTGGTAAGGATATTTGCTAATAGCTATTGCATTCATTTTTGTATGTAGCCTACAACACCCAAGCTAGCATCCTCTCTTGAAGTCATTCATGATGTAAGACATTAGACAAAAACTTTCATAGCAACTCATTGTACATAGATAGGGGAGGATAAAAAGAAGAAAAGATGTGAAGATTATAAAGTTTCAAGTTTTTGGGCCGTTAATATGGCATTTTTTAGGGCTTCATGAAATTTTTAAATTTTCTGAACAAAACATAGAATTTAATATTGTTGGAGAAAACACATTAAGAAGCTAAGAACCAATTTGGGACTAGATTTTTGTTTTTATAAAAGTACAATAATATGTTTAATTAGTACTATAATTTTCAAAAATAATTTGATTTGTTTTAAGAAATACTAAAAATAAGCTTGAGATGTTTTTAATATTTTAAAAATATTTTTCTTCAAACTCAACCTGACTCTCGTCCCCCCACATCTTTCCCTCTTAATCCCCCCTGGTCACTCTCTCTTATTAAACCCCTTCTTTTTTTGTGGCAGTGGATCACCATAACCATTACATCTAACTCCCTGGTCTCTACTACCATCCATCGATTGGAGGAATCAACGGTTGACGAATTCTTGTCATGGCCACCTCCCAAAATAATGCCGACTTCTCACTTAGTGATGCCATCATTCTCTGCTTGACCTCCAATCCCACCTCGACTTATGCTACACCAACAACCTCCTATATGAGTCCCAAGTCTGCAACTATGTTGGATATCTATTCAATGTCCAAGATGCCACAAAATTAAATCTATAAAACAAAAAAACAAGACGAACATTCTAAATGATGGCATCCCTATATACGAACATACTAATAGGGATTTCTCACTCATGAGTCTGACAACTGTAAACTTTTTTAGTGTGAGTTTTAGGTGAAATATTTACGTATGGAGAACGCATGCAGCTCTCCGTGCATAATCCCCTCTCAATAACTCCTCAATAACCTTTGTGAAGGTTATTGGGGGTTATTGCGGAGTCATTTCGGCGTTATTTGGAGTCCATACCCTAACACCAGAGAAAATGTGAAAGTGTAACCGCGAAGGGCATTGATTCCCAATAACGCCGGAAATAACTTTGTAATAACCCCAAATAATCTTGGCAAAGCTTATTGAGGGGTTATTGGGAGGGGATTACGCACAGAGAGCTGTATGTGTTCTTCGTACATAAATATTTCTCGAGTTTTAGACGGATAATAAAAGCATAAAATTATCAAATTATTTTATTTCATATTAGAATAGAAATAAAATAAAATAAAAAGTAATCCCAAATAACTCCATAGAAAGTAGCATGATAGACATTTGTTCCATTTGGTAGAACCTCGAGTTATATCCTAGCAGTTGCATAATTGCTATTGAAAATATGACTAAAGATTTGTTTGGTGCAGCTTAAAGGTGATTGTAAAACTAGAAAATATAAATTAATTTTTTAAAAAGCTACAATATGAATTATAAATATTTTGTTCCCAAATAGTCACAAAACAACTTCCATACAACCACCACACTTTAACAGATCTTGTCACAAAAAATAGCTCTCCACCACAGTTTTCTAGAAAGCAGCAAAAAAGCAATTCACTAAAAGAAGTTATGATGACGGTCTAAAACATAACATGGGCATAAAGCTATATAAAATAGACCATAAACAAAACTACACCAAAAACCGTCATTAATTTGGAATGTCCAGCCCCTAGAGCAAAACTAGCTTAAAGCAGTGAAGCAATTAGTTCATAGTTGAAATGGCCCAACCAATTAGCTCCTATTAATTCACTAACAATGAGTTTGATATGCAAAAGGCAACAAACACAAAACACATGTATAATACTTTTTAAGATGCAAGTTGGATACAAACTATGCTTCAAGATATGTCACTCTAACTATATAATATGTGAATAATCAATCTTATTATATAATCCTTTGTTCTCATCCTTCCGCTCTATGACTTCCATAATATTATCATCGCTTAAGAACAAAACAAAAATTAATTTCAACACAAATATAGTAGTAATATTACTTAATATTTATGTATATAATCACATGAGAAAAAAACAGTTGCCCTTTTTTAAACTTTTCATTAATACATTTGTGTGTTATGATGTGAGCCATGTGACCATGTACTTTGAACATATTTATGCTTTTCTATATTCATTACCCAGCTCAAATATTATCCATACGCTTAACAAAAGATCGGATGTAAAAAATAATTCAATTGAATAGATAACTGATGTAGCTAACCGATTGACCTTATTTGTTCAAATGTTAACCAGGTTTTGCTACATCTGATTGCATAGCATAAAAAGCAAGACAGGCAATTTCCTTTTAATAAACAAAATAAGCAACAAATATACAAATCAGGGATGTATTAAAGACCAACTTAAAAAATTAAATATCATAACTTTATCATAACTAGAAAAGAAAAAAGTAATAAAAACCCCAAAGTTAACTATTACGAAGAAACTGAATATTATTATCGCTTCTTTTAACTATAAGGAGAGAATTTTCCAAGAAAAAAGGCATGAAAATGGGAAAAACACTAGATAAGATATGCACTCAATTTTAAAGATAAAATTGCTATTATCTCCACATGTTCAAGGATCAGGAGAGCAAAACAGCAGAAACAAATCCATTGCATTAATAACTCAGCCAATGAAAGTTTATCAATAGATTAGAAATATGCAAAAATATGGTCAGCAATTAGTGCATATAATGGGGAAAGAGTGTGTGGCAATAAGAGTGTGTGGCAATTCACCCAAAATCGCACTAAATGAACACATCTCCTTCTTAGACAAATTGGCCCAAACTCCAATTCTCACTTCTCGGGAAATAAAAAATAGAACCACAGCAACATGACAAAATCATTTTTTTGCTGAACTCATACTAGTCAGTTTTTTATCATAAAATTAGAGCAAAATAAAAGCCATATGCAAAATCCAACCATAACAGAGATATATTCCATCACTCCAAATGATTCAAGTAGTGTTGCACCTGAAAACAAAGATGCTGCGCTATATAATAATGTGGAACTCCTGCCTATTAAATAATCATCAAATAAAGTATGAAGCTGAAGTAAGGCTGAGATCAGACCCACTCATCTGCATGTTATTCTCCATATTTTAGTTATCATTTTTTCAGCCACTCCATAGCGTAGATTGCCATGTGTGCTTCTAAATCTAAGCAAAAATAGTAGAATCAAAATTATGCTTTTACATTTAATTTAGAGTCCTGAATCCTCAAAGTAGTTAAGTTGGAGTTCATTTCCTTTAAAAGCATAAATTTTTATCCAATTAAAAATATAATAATATATGAAGAGAAAGTTCAGACTCAGCCATTGATCCCTTGATAAAAAACAGCTCTCCTCTAAGCACATATAGTTTACCTGCCCATTCACCATCTTTAAACACACCCCTCGTAGCAATTCATCATCTATCATGAACCAAGAACTCTCCATAAATCCGACACATTCTTACTCATAAAACCATGTCAATCAATTACAGTGACAGATAAGAGATACAGGGAATAGAGTAGAATGAAAACAAAAGTGAAAAAAAAGGAAAAAATAAAATCATTTAACATGAACCAACATGTTCACAATAACTTGTCATAATAAATGGCACTGATTAAGTGGAGACTACAGTGAATCAACACATGAATTCAGCATAGGAACTATAATTTAATTTATAGGTTCAACTATCGAAAAGCTGTTCAAAGATGAATCAACACCTAGAATGGACAACTGCACTTTAACGATGCATAATAAACTCTTCATTAAATCATTTAATGGTTTGTGAACGAGACAGTATCTAATTGCAGATGATTTAGCATGATCTACTCAGAAGAAGGATGTTGGAGAAGAGCATGACGTTATAGATATCTTTACATGCTATGTTTGCTTCATTCGTTCACGAAAATAAATTGATATCTCTTTCTTCTTCTTCTTTTTTCTTAGGTTCATTTCTAACTTAAAATTTTTATTTCTCAGAATCATACTCTATAAGTAGCCATTCAGTATGGATTTTTAAGAGGCAAGAGGAACAAACTATATCATTTTTTTTTTTCCAAGAAAAGCAATGCAATACAAAAACGTCCACTATTGTTTATCCATTTAAATAAATATATCTATTTAATGTTCACCCATGTTTTAATTATATTTTGTGTTTAACTGGGAAATAAAAATACATATTAGTCTTAAGTATTGAGAACCCACAACCTATATAAAAGGTGTC